CAGACAGTTCATTTCACCGTTTACCGCGGCTTGAAAGACATTAATTACACTGATGGCTTGGGTGTTAAAAAAAAAACCATGTGTGTTACCAGTACGCGCGCGGGAAGTTAAACTTCTTTTGAATGGTACACGTGAGTGAGTGAAAAAGAAAGAAAAAATATTAATTAATTTAAAAAATGAGAAGAAGTATCCGGAATTATTTATTATTGATAGTTTTATTATTTTTTTTATATTTTTATTCGACAGATCGATGGATAATTGTTTGTAGTATTGTTTTTATCCAGACAATAGATTTGTGAGTGAATACTAATAATAATAATAAAAATAAAAAAAAGGTGGGCAAGTGGGTGTCGCTCTGCTGTACAGTAGGTTACAAGTGGGTCACTGTATAATGGATGGTATTAAATTTGAATTCAATGATATAATATCATTGTATAAGAAAAACGATTCTGAGCGGTGATGGTATGTCAGTCTATGTATAAGGCATATTATATACATATCTATGGTATTAAACAAAAAATTGACCTATAATAGGTACCTATAATAAATTCCAAACTAATCATATCACAATATCCATTAGATACTTATAACGCGTTATACATCAACAAAAACCGTGATACTATCATAGATATATAATAGTACACTTTAGAAGTTTCAAGTACCCACGAATAATATTATTCAATCACAACAAAATAACTAAAATCGTAATTCCAACGATTGATAATTTTCGAGATTTTGATAAATGTTGTCAAAATTCCAACTTTAAATGCTTATAAAAAAAAATCGTGCCTATGTATTTTTAATATTTTTCAACTGATATTGTAACAATATATCAGGAGCCTTGTATTAAATTTTTACACTTTTTGGCACAACAGATAAAACTTTATTGATATTTATAGAAAAAAAAACTAAAAAAAATTGAAAGCTGTAACTGTCCATAAACAGCTCAAAAAGAGTCAAAATATTTTCAAAATTGTATGGTGTATAGGAAATGCTAATATAAACATTCAGTGAAATTTTCATGTATCTACAGTTATTCGTTTTTGAATTACAACAAAATAAGGAAATCGCTACATGAGAAATCGAGTGAAAATCCAATGTTGTAAAAATTTGAATTTCAAACGTTCATAAAAATTTAATTTGACTGTCCGGTAGAGATTTTTTTATTGATAAAGGTAGATAATCTTATAAGGAATCTTGTGTTTCATTTTCAAATCTTAGATTTAAAAAGAAAAATTTTTACGAATTCTTAACTCAAAATAATTTGCTAATTTTCGTGATTTTTCCATATTTTGTCAATTTTTGAACTTTAAATGCTTATAAAAAAAAATTGTGACTAAGGATTTTTAATATTTTTCATCTGCCTTTGAAACAACATATTAGGAGCCTTCTATTAAATTTTCAAGCTTTCGCAACCAATAAATAAAATTTTATTGATATTTTTAGAAAAAAAACTAAAAAAAAATGGAAAATGAAAATGTCCCTAAACAGTTCAAAATAAATCAAAATATTTTGAAAATGTTATCGTGTATAGAAAATGCAAATATAAACAACCAGTGAAAATTTCATGTATATACGTTCATTTGTTTTAGAGTTACACCAATAACCAAAATCGATTTTTTGGAAAACCAATTTTGCGTAAAAATTCCCGTTTTTCCTTAATTTTTATGTTGTTTTTCCCGGCGCTTGTGAAAACTACTGGGAAATTTATACTTTTGACCCCCCAAAGTACCAACTAGATTCACTTTCCTATCAGAAAAGCTACTGATGAAGAAAATCCAATCACTTTTACTGTCCTAAAACGTGATGACAGACACAAAAATATAAATAAAAATATAAAAATATAAATAAAAATATAAAAACATACATCATTGTAAAACCAATACATTCATCGCTCCGCTCAGAATCTAAAATATTAAAAAAAAATTTGGTTGCTAGTAAAAAATTACAACTCTTAAAAAAATTATGATTGTTGAACTCCTTTTGGGTGTAACTTGCTGGGGTAAGTGCAGCTCAGCCACCCTGGTAAGCAATGTTCAATAATTTGATTTGATGCAAGCTTGTACCTGATCTGCTCGAATAACCAATGGCAACCAATAAATAAATGCTAATTTCTAATGTAGACTGTAACCAATGGCAACTATCTATATATATAAAAATGAATGTATGTCAGTGTGTCAGTGTGTCTGTGTGTCTGTGTGTCCATGTTACCATGGTTACCAAGGTTGCCATGGTTACTAAGGTTACCAAGATTTCATATCAATCTATATATATAAAAATGAATGTATGTCAGTGTGTGTGTGTGTGTGTGTGTGTGTGTGTGTGTGTGTGTGTGTGTGTGTGTGGGTCCATATTACCATGGCAACCATATCTGTATATAAAAAACAGTAAGCTGATTGACTGCTATCAACGCACAGCTCAAACCATTGGACGGATCTGGCTGAAATTTGGCATACAGATAGCTATTATAATATAGACGTGCGCTAAGAAAGGATTTGCCAAAATTCGCATTTTAAATAGGTGCTGAAACAGGGACATTGAGATTCACGATAGAAATTGGAAATTTTATTTTTATTTATTTATAGTTGCCATTGGTTACAGTCTACATTAGAAATTAGCATTTATTTATTGGTTGCCATTGGTTATTCGGGCAGATCAGGTACAAGCTTGCATCAAATCGAATTATTGAACAATGCTTACCAGGGTGGCAGAGTTGCACTTACCGCAGAAAATTACACCCAAAAGGAGTTCAACAATCATAATTTTTTTAAGAGTTGCGATTTTTTACGAGCAACCAAATTTATTATATTAATCCACAGTATTACATCAAAATAAACTTGGTATAACTTTGATACTTTAGAGTTAAATCATACACTTCCGTACAAACAGCACGGGGTCCGCGACCTACCGCAGGTAGATTGCCTACCTGATAATGTACTGCCGCGATTCAGAATTTTTATTCAGGGCAACGGGAAAGATAAGATAAATTTTGAACACCATACACGTTAATGAATTGAACAAAGTTTGAGTAGGTAGTATTGAGTTGATCCATTTAACGGGCGACGAAGTGCACGGGATCAGCTAGTTAATAAATAAAAATAAAATTTCCAATTTCCATCTTGAATCTCAATGTCCCCGTTTGAGCACCTATTTAAAATGCGAATTTCGAAAAATCCTTTCTTAGCGCACTTCTACATCATAATAGCTATCTGTATGCCAAATTTCAGCCAGATCCGTCCAATGGTTTGAGCTGTGCGTTGATAGCAGTCAATCAGCTTACTGTTTTATATATACAGATATATATATATATATATATATATATATATATATATATTATAATATATAATAAAACAACATTACCATGACAATATTTATTTATTTACGGACATGTACGTTTTAGCGTTCGTACGGCCGCCCGTTCGTACGCGCCGCCCGTTCGTACACGCCGCCCGTTCGCTTTTTTTTTTCCTCACTACCGTGCGTAAAGAAGTATAACTTCAAAAAAAGGACGTCTTCCCCCGGTGCATTATTTTTTTTTTTATTAGCCACTACCCATTAGGTTTAATAAAATATACATGGAGTCATATAACATAATATATATAGTAAAACCTCCTTATAACGGAATCGCTCGGTTCCAACTGATATTTCCGCTGTAAAGGAGTTTCCTTTTTGGAGATACTAAAATATACTATAATATAATATAGATTATTTGGGACTATTGTTAATTTCTGTTATATGGACATTATAATATATTTTTTGGATATTATATACAATTTGAATATAATAGAAGGAGAAATTACCTTCAATACAAGTTGTACAACAATAGGACTGAGATCAATTTATGATGAATAGAAGTGAATATATAGGTATATGTTATATACCTACCTATATATTATCATAATATTATGTTGTAATTTGAACCAATACCAGGATTTAAAAATTAAATTGTATTATTACTTATTACATTTGGCCCTTAGGTTATCTGTTAAAATGTATAACAATAAAGCCGCGCATACACTAGACCCGAACCGGCCGAACCGACCGAACCGAAAAAAATCAAAATGCCGATTTTATATGTGAGTGCATACACTTGTACCGAACCGATAGCCCGAATCGAAATTCGGGTCGGTTCGGATTTCAACCGTTCAAACATGTTTGAATTTTTCGGCCGAAAATTAGCGGTACTATTCTATGTATAGGTCCTACCTCTTGATTTGAGACGCTAATAAATGAAATATTGTGGTCATATCACATTTGGTGTTTTAATAACATCGTTGTGTACCTATAACCCATTATCTACTATGTCCTAGTATTAAGTACTTTAGATATATCTAATCGTGATATTTTAGTATATATGTTTTGAAAACGTGCGTTTTATCTACAATTTTATCAACCGTTTCACATTGGTATTTCGATAATGTAGTCGTACTAACTAAGTATTTTAGTAGTTGTAAATACGTCGCACGTGAGAGTTGCTAAGATGTCATCTATAAAATTTGAAAAAGAAAGACTCATAAGTTTAGTATTTGCGGAAAACCAAATTTGGAATCAAAAACATGACAAATACCATAATAGAGATGAAAAAATTTTAATATGGACACGTATTGCTACAAATCTGGGTACAACAGGTAATGCATTATTTAAACTTATATTAATATTAATTATAAAAAGAAATTTGTTTTGTAATCAAAAGATTAAAGTTATACAATTATAATAATAAATGTAGCTAAATTATCAAAAATAATAATAATAATAAATAATAATACCTATACAATACAAGTAATAATACAATTTTAACATAATACTTAATAGTCATTACTCATTATAGTATTATACCTACAATTAAACTAAACTACTTTTGAACGTTTGCATACTGTTCTTGAAATGAAATCGATCCTATAGGACTAATAAAATAATTTTTTAATGTATCTCTTACGAAATTCGCCAAGTTTGAACTCCGATTAAATGGTCTTATTACATTTGTCCTTACATTTTTTTCATTAAATACTAAAAAATACTATACTTAAAAAATCTTCTGGAGTTGGAATAGATAAATGTGTTGTCGATAGTCTATTCCATATTGCGTCACATACTTCATATACAATTGCACCAACCGTAGTATTATGCATTTTAAAGCAAAGTGCTAATGCTCGAAATGACATACCAGTTGATAAATATCTGCAAAATATTTAAAATATTATATAAAATCTTAACTAAACATATACTAAACATTATTTAAATGTGTTGATATTTTTTTTTACGGCTTTTACAATATAGTACATATTAATGAATATAACATAGGTATTACTCAATATAAACATACCTACTACATACTTAACCAAATTAATCAAACAATTTAATTAATTAAGTATAATTACTGAAATTTAATATATATAATATGTAATGCATTTTAGCCGAAGAAGCGAAGAAAAAATGGGAAGGTTTAAGAGACACGTTTAGAAAAGAGTTTAAGAAAGTGCCTAAACCTAAATCTGGACAAGGATTCACACCACAATCCTCAAAATGGCCATATTTTAATCAGTTGTTATTTTTGAAAGATAATATGACACCTAGAAATACAGCGACCAATATACCTCGAGACCCTTTAATTCCCACACTCGACGATTCTGATAATAACAGCGAACTTGATTTAACTGATGAAGATGAACATGTTGAACAAAATGAACACGAAGATGAAGAAGTTGGGTTGAATAATATTCCTAATGTGCAAAGTACAACACCTCAATATAGGAAACATTCGAAACGTAAATCGTATCAAACAGAAGCAATAGAAATCGAACGGAAAAAAATAAAACTGTTTGAAGAACGTCTTAAAACGAAAAAGAATGCTGATAGTGATGAAGATTACCACTTTTTAATGAGTTTGTTGCCAAGTTTTAAAAAAATGGATTCATTAAAAAAGATGAAAGTTAGAATGGAAGTACTCAGTATTATCACCAAAACGCTTGAATCGGAAGAAATGACACCTAGCAGAAGTTCCAGTGCATCTGGCTATTCAGATTATACGCAACAGCCGCAATTACTGTATAATAAAAATTATGAAAAATCATCTGTTGTTCAAGATTGCCAATATTCGTACACTAATTTATAAATAATAGTTACAAACGAGTGTCAATAATTAATATAAAGTTATGTAAATGTACAATATTTTTAATAATAATAGTATTTTAAATAATAAGTTATAATAAAAGTTAATATAGTCTATAATTCTGACTATAGTAGTTACAGTAATTTACAATATTTTTTTTCTCTTTGAATATTTAAATACCTATATTTTATTTAAAAATTAATATTTATATATTTGATAAATTTTTAAATTTTAAATTAATAAAATTAAAATAACTTTACCTGAGAGTAACAGCTAATTTTTCTTCGGGCTCAATGCAGCGTCTAAAATTTGAATATTTTGTCAAATCGTTTTTTATGGCATTTAAAATATATTCAAACGTTGATATATCCATTCGAAAGTAATTATAAAATTTTGATGGGTAATTTTTTATAACAGTGCACACATTTTGAAATTCGCCACTATCATCTCGTTGTTGCCAAAGTTCATGCACCCAATATCTTTTCCGTGATTTGAAGATCGGGCTCTCTAATAAAAATGAATCCCATTCATCATCTGAAGAACTATTATATTCCATATTTTTTACAACTGCACACCATGCGATGCATTCGTCAACTGTCGAAAACTGATTGTAGAAGATATAATATATGGTTTACTCTAGTTATTATCACAAGTCACGACATAATATGATTATTTAATTATCTATTTAGCTATTAACTTTATTTTCGGAACGAAAATTCGGGGACACTCAATGCAGCTATACCCGAAAAACTTCGGACCGAATATTTTTCGGTTCGGTCGGTCCGGCCGGTTCGGGTCTAGTGTATGCGCGGCTTAAGTAAGTTTTCTGAAATATGAGAAACATAAATCAATGTATTAATGGAAAAAAAAATAGCCCTGACTTGAGAAACATTATGGAATGTTTTACATTTATATAATTATACAATAACTCAGTCAAATAGTAATTACTTCCATTACAAATTACAATACACAACATATTAATTATCCCTACATTTTAGATTCTGAGTGAAACGATGAATGTATTGATTTTACAATGATGTGTGTTATTTATTTATTTTTTTTTGTGTCTGTCATCACTCATCACGTTTTAGGACAGTAAAAGTGCTTGGATTTTCTTCATCAGTAGCTTTTCTGATAGAAAAGTGAATCTAGTTGGTACTTTGGGGGGGTCAAAAGTAAAAATTTCCCAGTAGTTTTCACAAGCGCCGGGAAAAACAACATAAAAATTAAGGAAAAACGGGAATTTTTACGGAAAATTGGTTTTCCAAAAAATCGATTTTGGTTTTTGGTGTAACTCTAAAACAAATGAACGTATATACATGAAATTTTCACTGGTTGTTTATATTTTCATTTTCTATACACGATAACATTTTCAAAATATTTTAATTTATTTTGAACTGTTTAGGGACATTTTCATTTTCCATTTTTTTTTATTTTTTTTTCTAAAAATATCAATAAAATGTTATTTGTTGGTTAAAAACACTTGAAAATTTGATAGAAGGCTCCTAATATATTGTTTCAAAGGCAGATGAAAAATATTAAAAATCCTTAGTCACAATTTTTTTTTATAAGCATTTAAAGTTCAAAAATTGACAAAATATGGATAAATCACGAAAATTAGCAAATTATTTTGAGTTAAGAATTCGTAAAAATTTTTCTTTTTAAATCTAAGATTTGAAAATGAAACACAAGATTCCTTATAAGATTATCTACCTTTATCAAAAGAAAAATGTCTATAAGAAAGTCAAATTAAATTTTTATGAACGTTTGAAATTCACATATTTACAACATTGAATATTCACTCGATTTCCCATGTGGCGATTTCCTTATTTTGTTGTAATTCAAAAACGAATAACTGTAGATACATGAAAATTTCACTGAATTTTTATATTAACATTTCCTATACACCATACAATTTTGAAAATATTTTGACTCTTTTTGAGCTGTTGATGGACATTTACAGCTTTAAAATTTTTTTAGTTTTTTTTTTCTATAAATATCACTAAAGTTTTATCTGTTGGGCCAAAAAGTGTAAAAATTTAATACAAGGCTCCTGATATATTGTCACAATAGCAGTTGAAAAATTTTAAAATACATATGCACAGGTTTTTTTTTATAAGCATTTAAAGATCAAATTTTGACAAAATTTATCAAAATCTCGAAAATTATCAATCATTGTAATTAATAAATTATAAAATGTTCAGTTTTTTAGCTAAGGATTGCAAATTCAACACAAAGGTTCTCATAAATAGTTCATACTGTAACCAAAAAATCTAAAAAATAAAAAACAAAGACAGTTATTTTTTACAGACATTTTAAATTCAAATTTGGACGAAATTACATATTAAAAAACCTAGAATAACTATTTTAGTTATATAGTTGTGATTGAATAATATTATTCGTGGGTACTTGAAACTTCTAAAGTGTACTATTATATATCTATGATAGTATCACGGTTTTTAGTACGGAATTTGACCAACTTTGGACCACCACAGTTGAGTGATGTCTGCGAGAGTAGAATATATTTTTTTTACACTTCCGATTAAATTCCGACACGTTTTTCCCACCGAAAACTTATAGGTTACCTACTTACAGCATTTTATGGCGTTGGATATAATATTATGCCAAGTAGGTATCTATTTCTGATTCAAATATAACATGTATAAATAATAGATTATCAAGTACTAACCATTACCAAAGTTGTCGAAGTTATTGTCTAAACATAATAGCAGTAAATAACATAATGAGTATTTTAGATTGTATTATATTAAAATTAAATAGACTTAGCAAAAGTTATCGTATTCGCACCAGAGCCAGTGGTGGTTTTGATAAAACATCAAGGTGGGCTATTTTAAATTTGTTGGCCTCCCCCAACCATAATTAAAGCAATTCAAGCATTTAGTGTAATTTGAATTAAAAAAAAGGACATGCAAAAAAAATTCAAGGGGGAAGCGCCCCTTCGCCCCCCCCCCAAAAAAAACTGCCACTGACCAGAGCTCGTAATGAAACCAATATAATGATACCTGTATTAAATACTACCCACCTTGATAAAAATACCGTTAACATATCGAATGAATACAATAATAGGTAACTATAGCACCTATTGAAGGTATTCCTGATCAATGTTACGACAATATAAATATCAAGGTAGATCATGCTAGTATAAATGTTTATTGTGAGCATTATAGTGCGTTTCTGAAATAGAACATCATAACATTCATAACCCACTCACTCCACTCAATAATATTTCTGATAAACTATCTTCTTGTTAGCGAGTGGTCACACTGATGGCCACCGCCGCCGGTTCTCCAGGCCACGGCCCTGACTCGGTACGCCTGCCTCCTTCTGTTTCTACGCAACCGCGGTGCACGACGTTGTGTGCTCCGCCGACGGCGTGAACTGCCGTAATTGTGACATAGTATTATAGTGTTCGAATATCGTTAATCGCGAGTCGCGACGTTTCCTTGTTAATAAATGATTACAAGTGCAACTATTTGTTTTTATTTTTTAATCCTGACACTCTATTAATCAAGACGCTAACATTTCAGAAGTGGGATGCGATTCCTTTAGTGCGACGTGCGTGACTAATAAGGAATCGTCCGAATCCGAATCTCCGAAGTGCGTTCGCAATACGAACTTTGCATTCGCCAAACAATCGAAAATCGTTTCCAAACTTTCGCTCACTTGCGCGTGGGTTCGTTTACAGTTTTTTTTCCTCATTTCGAAAACGTGTCACGCTACACACCGTTTTGAGGTTATCGCGCCGTCGATATCGTACCGCGTTCGTGCGGTTATCGCACCGTCGTTATCGCAACCTCGTCGCGTGGCTTTCGCGCCAAAATCATTGACTATACCGTAACCGTGGTAACGCCGTATCACGACTGATTAGTGTCGTAATCACTTATCACACCGAAATCGTTATCTGATAAATATCGTTAACATCGGGACGATTATTATTGTTGTTGTCAACGGACAACATGCCGACCGATACCGAAATTGCTGCGGCCGACTTAGTGGCCCCGAAGTACAACGAACTATTCAATGCCGTACAAGAATTGCAAAGAAAATTACGCGAGATGCAGGCATCGTCCAGCCCGAACCCTGGGGTAGTACCACCGAACGTCGATTACCGTATTCTTCCGGATGTCGGGACGTCAATCTGGACGTTTACTGGGCATGAGACTAGTAGCCAAGCAGATGACTGGGTTAGTTCGGTCGAAGGATTGGCCCACACAAATCAATGGCCGCTCAGATATCGACTAATGTACGTGCGCTCTCACGTTTCCGAAGCTGCCCGTAGCTGGTTTTTGTTCGAGGAATTTCCCGAATGGAACACCTTCATCGAAGAATTCCGTAAGACGTTCGTTCGCACTATACGAAAGGCGGACTTATGGCGAGAGCTTGAGTCGCGTGTCCAATCGCCGACTGAGCCTACAATCGATTACTTTTACGCGAAGATTGGTCTATGCCGTACGCTAGACTTGACGTTCACCGAAACGCGTGATTACGTGCTTGAAGGCCTAAGGTCTCAACAACAGGCAGAATGGGTGTCTGGGCGATTGCAGATCGACCGAGACGGACTCCTTTCAGACATCCGCGAATGGGAACGTCTACGCGCTAAACGACAACATTTATTTCCGCCAAACGCGTCGAATCGCCAGAGTGACCACCACGATGGGTCATCGTCAGTACCGATCGCACCCAAAACACCGAACGAACCGAAACCCGACACCGTCGACTACGAAAAGTCGAAATCGAAAACGCCTAGTAACGAAAATCCGCCGCGGTCATACCGCACGGAAATTACGTGTTATAACTGCAGAGGGGACGGGCATATCTCTCGAGACTGCCCGCGACCTCAACGGCCGATGAAATGCACGTGCTGCGGTTCTAACCAACACCGACGAAGCCGGTGTCCAGACCGGGAAGCCGGGTCATCGATCGAAACCTCGGCCGAAACTGACTCGAACCATCAGTCAGTCAACTACGTAAACTCGACCGTTACACGTCATCCGGAAAATCTCTACACTAAAATCGTGACGATAAACCACACGTCCGTAAACGGGATCGTCGACACGGGTAGTACAAACGTTCTCATCCGCGAGTCGGTCGCACGTCGAGCCGGAATTACTTACCAACGTACTTTCCGACCACTGTACGCGGTAGGCGACGTGAACCATCCGAGCACCTCAACGATAGGAGAGACCAAGGTTGATGTCAGTATAGATGGTGTGTTGGCTGCCGACCACGAAGTACGTATCGTTAGCGATGACACGTTGCCCGTCGACGTACTGGTGGGCCAAACGTGGCTCCAACTCCCGCACGTACACTTTTACAAATGTGGATCCGAATTGATCTTCGAGACTAGCACTGGATTGGAAGCAACTGATCGTTCGGTTGCAGACGAAGATGATACGTCATGTAGTTACATGGCCGAGGTCCAGGCATCGAAACCAAGGAAGCCGATGACCGTCGACGACGTAAGGATCAACACTTCGGTGACCGCCGAACAACGTGAAGAATTGATGACACCCGTGAACCATTGTCGCAACGTTTTCGCCAAAACGTTGGACGAATTGGGTTGCACCGACTTAGTAAAAATGGAGATCGTCGAAACGCCCGATAGTGCACCAGTCAACGCTAAACCGTATCGCTCATCGCCGTCCAACCGGCATCTCATCTCAGATATTGTACTTCTCATGGGGGCGAAACTGACCCTGAGACCGTCCAAGTGCAACTTCGGAATGACCCAGCTGAATTACCTGGGATTTTGAATCAGGGAAGGCGAAATTGAACCAGGACGAAAAAACGACGCAATCAGTAACTACCCGCGACCTCGAGACGCACATGAAGTGCGACGTTTTCTCGGTCTGGCCGGATACTTCCGCCGTTTTATTGTGAAGTTTGCTGAAATTGCCGAACCACTGACTCAGCTTACGGCTATAAACAAGCCCTACGCTTGGTCAGACGAACACCTGTCCGCGTTTGACAACCTTAAAACGAAGCTCAGTAGTGGACCGATCATAAGAATGTATAGTCCGACCGCAGTTGTCACCGAGGTGCACACGGACGCTAGCTCCAAAGGTTTGTCAGGCATACTGCTGCAAGGTGATAAACAATCGAGTTTGAAAATTGTGTATCACGTGAGTGAAAGGACAACTCGACCAGAATCAAATTATCACTCGAGTCAACTCGAGTCGTATGCCATAATATGGACTCTTAATCGCCTACGCCTGTTTCTGCTCGGGATACGTTTCACTGTCGTGACAGACTGTCAAGCTCTCACTTACCTTGACGTCAATAAGACAACCAAGCCGCCGGGAGACAAGCGAAGAGAGTCCAGATTCCGATTCACCAAGCCACGGGGAGACAAGCGAAGAGGATTCAGATCCTACCCCAGGCGACCCGATCCAATGGAATGTCCCGGAGGACACCCCAGGCAACCCAAACCAACCAAAAGGTTCAGGAAGCCTCCCACCCGTTACAAAGATTATATAATGAATTGAAATCCTTAGTAGGATAACAAAAAGGTAATGTGTTTTATAGGAAATACTTTTGTATATGTATAATAGTTTTGTAACCAGTAAGCCTACCGGCTGCATTAAGTTTATATAATGAATTGAAATCTGTAGTATGGTAACATTGTAAAAGGAAAATAATGTGTTTTATAATACTTTTGTATATGTTTAATAGTTTTGTAACCAGTAAGCCTTCCGGCTGCAATAAGTTTATATAATGAATTGAAATCTGTAGTATGGTAACATTGTAAAGGGAAAATAATGTGTTTTATGATACTTTTGTATATGTTTAATAGTTTTGGTAACCAGTAAGCCTACTGGCTGCTATAAGTTTATATATTGAATGAAATCTGTTGTGGGATAACAAAAGGTAATGTGTTTTATAGTGCTTTTGTATATGTTTAATAATTTGTAACCAGTAAGCCTACTGGCTGCTATAAGTTTATATAATGAATTGAAATCCGTAGTATGATCATAATGTTTAAAAAAAAGGGGTTTTAATAAATTTTTATATTATAGCTATGAACCAGGAAGCAGACGGCCCGGGGACGGTCCGTGGAGTCGGATGGCCGAATGTTAGCGAGTGGTCACACTGATGGCCACCGCCGCCGGTTCTCCAGGCCACGGCCCTGACTCGGTACGCCTGCCTCCTTCTGTTTCTACGCAACCGCGGTGCACGACGTTGTGTGCTCCGCCGACGGCGTGAACTGCCGTAATTGTGACATAGTATTATAGTGTTCGAATATCGTTAATCGCGAGTCGCGACGTTTCCTTGTTAATAAATGATTACAAGTGCAACTATTTGTTTTTATTTTTTAATCCTGGCACTCAATTAATCAAGACGCTAACATTCTCTACATCAGTTTTTATGTTCATGGAGTGTCAGATACTCAGATATAATACAAACCATAAAGCTTTATCTAAGGACTAAGTTGTTAAAAGGCTTACGCCTAAGATGACATTCTAACTTACCTGCATGGGCTGCATGTTTTATAACTTTAAATAAGTTAAATAAGGCTAAATAGGTTCTTAAAATAGAAAAAATGGGTAAATGCCCAAATATGCACTAAAAAAATTTCATTTTTTAAATCGTGCTCACGTAGCATATCATACAATCGACCATAACATATTATATGCAAATGCATATTAATCCGCGCCCTAAGTATAGCATAATGCACAGGATCTGATTTTAAGACTAGTTAAAATGTTAATTTTTTTTAAACTTTTTTCTTATTTAGTTGATTAATTTTCTAATTAACCTAATGACTAATATTATTCAATAATAATATATTGATTACTCATATCTATTTAAAAACGGTGAAGTATAAATTAATAAATATCTTTCTATTATAAAATGAAATGTGTAGGTATGCGGGTGTGGGGTACAACAAGGTATACAAATTAGTAAATACCTACCTACTATTTTTTTACAAGTATAATTTTTTTTTTACAATTTGAGCTTTGAATTTATGGGAATCTACTCAAGAATTAACTACCTACCTATCCAAACTTTTATATATACCATAGACATTGAGTATGAAAAATATAACAATTGTTTTTGTTTTTAGATATTTTAAATATATAATATTATATTAAACCTAATCTTTATTTGATAATCAATAAAATTATTGTAAAAATATATACGAGTATATATATTTTTTTTTTATATGGGTAACGGCCTTTAAGACCAGCTTTCCAAGTATATTCTCTTCGATCTGTATATCCATCTATCCTTTCTATTCTTCCTACATCTTTAGCAACACAATCCTCCCATCTTATTTCTACCCAAATGTTGTTTTCCTGGTGGGTTCTTTTCGATTACGGTCTTTATTATTGACCCTTGTTTCCTCCATGCTTGTCCTGCCCAAAATATGCAGTTTATAAAATATAAATACAGATTACAGCCTACAGGTACCTACATACCTATATAATCAGACTCATTTCATAATCTTAACAATTAAAAAAAAATAATAGTAATATGCAATAGAATGCAGTGATATGCATATATATATATATATTAATCTGTATATAATTGGTTAGTTTTTTATTACTATTTACTGCTATCTAAATTGATCTTACAAATGCATATTTTGAATACTTAGCAATCAGTCAATTTTGGAAATTGTTAGGTATTTTGTACATTTCCTAATGGCTTCTAGTCCTACCTATTTCAAAACTAACTAAGTATTATTGCTGCGTGTATAACACACAAATTACAAGTCTCAAATTCGTTTGAATTTAACTTTATGGTTTCATTATGGAACTATAAACTTAACTGTGGCCATGCGTTTGCGAGTGAAATTAATCATACCCTACATTATCATACATAAGAGAATGATAGGTGGTGGAATTGTACATCGATAGGGAATTTCATGAAGATTTCATTAAAATGGTAAGTTTAATGAATATTAAAGTAGTTATCCAGATTCTTCCCAGTTCCCAATAATTGTAAAAATAACATACGCAAATTCGCTTTATCAATAATCATGATTTGTTATTTGTTATCAATTTGTATTTTGTACATACAATTAAAGATAGTTACTATCACCATAGAACAATACGGACCACGGACTAAGAATAGATAGTCCGTGGACCGTCCAAGGTTTTTAGATGATAAACCTTTATCTAAAAACCCATCCCGGCACAGAATGTGATTTAAAGGCGCAGGTTTGCTACACTTGTTTGCGAACTAGTGCTGCCAGAAAAAGATAATTCACATTAGTCTACCTTTTTGGTGACACTGGATTAAAAAAAAATATTGATTTCGGATAAAATACGGTTCGGAAGAAATATTTTTCGTCGAGAAAAAGTTTCGGGTAAAATATTTTTCGGATAAAAAACGTTTCGGTTAAAATATTTTCGACTAATATATTTTCGGCTTGGTTATTTTCGTGCATAATATTTTCTGATAAAATATTTTTCGTGTATTTTACTTTCGTATTTAATAATTTTCGGATAAAATACGGTTCGGGTGAAATATTTTTCGTCGATAAAATGTTTCGGGTAAAATATTTTTCGGATAAAAAACTTTTCGGTTAAAATATTTTCGACTTATATATTTTCGGCTTAGTTATTTTCGTGCATAATATTTTCTGATAAAATATTTTTCGTGTATTTTACTTTCGTATTTAATAATTTTCGGATAAAATACGTTTCTATTAAAATATTTTTCGGATAAAATTATTTTCGTAAATTTATTTTCGGATAATATATTTTCGGCTGAAATATTTTCGGCAATAATATAGCCCCTCATTATGAACCACTATAAAAGGCATTTGTATAGCAGGTGATCTACCAATTTACTAGAAGTGATCTACTACAAGATTTAGGTACCTATAATAATATGTACATTGTACATACCTATTGGCTATTAGGTTTAAAATATATTTCACCATTAATTATTAAGATATTTTTTTTATTTAGGATTATCAAATCAAATAAGAATTCATTCAAAAATACACAGTTTACCGCCATTGATTAGTGCTACTATATTAGGCAAAGAAGCTGCAGAAGCAAAAATTATATATGATATATTAAGGGAACAAACTCTAGCCATATTTATTAAAGGATTAGTAGAACCGATTAAAACAATAGTAAAATCTCGTAATCCCAAAACCCTGGAGATCGCGAAACAACTTGCTATGTCGGAACAGGTGGAACTAAGATTAGAACAGGATAATAGGAACCATTATTCGAATATTCGTTCACAAAATTATAACCAGCGCAGATCGAATTACGAAAATAGGAACAACGAAAACATTAGACCAAATAACCCTGTAAGGACAAATAATTATCCACGAGCAAACAATTTTTCTCAACCAATCAATAGGCCAGCAATAAAATGCTATAATTGTAATGGTAATCATTATGCATCTCAATGTAGGAATAATACTAGACCTAGTTATGCGAGCAATGGCAATAACAATCGTCCACCTGATAGGAATAATTTTACGCAACCACCTACGAATTATAATATACAGGTAGTTACTTGTTCATACTGTAATCGAACTGGTCATAATATCGACTCGTGTTATAAAAAGAGAAACGATGAGAGTAGAAACGTTAATAATTCGGAAAACGAAAACGTGTCGAACGAGAGGCGCGGTACTCGTACGATAAACCAGATTATCGCGGAACAACCGACTCACGAATATTCCACATATTCTCAGCCTTAGAAAATAATCATATAACATTTAATTCATTCACCGCTAACACAAATCAATTACAAATACGTCACAAACCCGGAGTTCTAAATTCAAATGTAGATACTTTCACATGCATATATTCAATTCAGGAAATAAAAAACAAATCATACGAACAATATATCGAAAAGTTAGGAACACAAATTATCACAAATATTAATGTAAAAGAAACTATAGGTGCACTAATAGATTCACCAAAAAAATATAATATAGTATCAGAAATTGCCAAGCAATATAATTTTAGAACAGGAACGAATTATCAGTTAAAAAAACAATTTGGAAACAGTACAATATTGCCGACTAGTAAAGTAATAGGAGACACACCCTATTTCAAACAAGAAAACAGGTTTATAATATTCTTAGTAACGAAAAATAAAGACCGACAGAAGGCCACTTACGTATCACTAATAAATTTAAAACCATTTTGTAAGGAAAACAATCTTGAATAAATTAGCCATGGGCAAGATAGGCGATCACGATCACGATGATTTAGAATGGGAAAAAATAAGGTCAATGTTACAATACATATTTTGCAAAACAGATATAGAAATAATTACATGTGCAAATGTAGAATACAGTGAAGAAGAAAAAGCAGTCATTTTATTACAATTTCACGATTCAAAACTAGGCGAACATTTAGGTGTGAATAAAATCATTAAGCGCATTAAAAAACAATTCTTATGGAAGGGTATAAAAGAAGACGTTAGAAAATATATAAAGGATTGTGCGTCATGTCAGGTTAATAAGGTATCAAATCGGCACATAAAACAACCAATGACTATTACA